CCCCAAAACCCCAAAACCCCAAAACCCCAAAACCCCGAAAAATAAAGATAGGCAATAAATGCAGTATTACAAATAAATTACATTTCAGCTAAATAAACTATCGTATTTAATGCCAGAAAGTCCAAACTCATCTTCTTACTTTTATTCCTCTTTTTCATTAGAATTTTTATTTTTACCTGCTTTTTTATCATACTGTTTAGAATAGGAACTAGACATCAATTCCTTAAATGCATCCTCACTTTACTAAAACAATACATTCTCATTTTTACCATTCTAATGACCTTATATTACTCCTGCTAAATTAGTCTGATATGGATTCTTCTTGCTATTCTTCTTAACTTAGTTAGCCTTTTGCTTTTATATTATCTCCTCAGAACCCCCGTTATTGGAAATACTAACCTATTTGGTAAACATCTACTTAGCATCTTTAATATACTAGTCCCTCTGCACATTTAATTTAGCCATATCTTGCATTATCAAATCTTTATCTTTAAGTTCTTGCTATATTTTTTGCTCCAGCTTCAAGATTCTTAGCTAAGATTTCTTCATATCATCCTAGTTTTTAGATTACTTATGATATTCTAGCTGTAAATTCTCATTAGAAATCGCTAATGTCTAGGCTAAATCCAACAACTCATCCTCTGTTTTATCGAGTAACTCTTGTAGTTTAAGATTCTCATCTATTAACTCATCTTTAGTGAGAGAGCGTAGATTATTGTACTCAAAATTGTAATTCGGTATCATTAAGGAGATAATTATATAATTGAAATTAACTTCTCAGTTTTAATAATAGTAAAGCAAATCAATTGATATAGTTTAATTATAATACAAGTTAAATAGTTGCTTCTATATAATTTGAATTTAAATACAGAAAATTAAAATGAAATCAGGGAAAAGATCGCCGATGAATTAAAATAAAAATATAAGCAAGCCAGACTCAAAAAGCAATCTAGTGACTTAGTTGCATTCAGATATACCTATCCATCATTCTAAGAATAACTTCAGTAGGGTAATAATTCAATTTTCATGTAAAATATTTGCATATAGAGTAAATACACGACTCTGGATAAGCAAGATCAGCAGATTTAAGGATCACAACTTTTTGGAAAAACTCAGAATTTCATGCAGAAGAAGAGCCCAAACAAAAATAATGCCAACTCTTAAATAAACTAGCAATCAATCACAGTTTTAAATCAGGTGAATCATAGCTCGAATAAAAGTTTGACTAGCTTACAAAACCTTACTAATAATATGAACTAGCAATCACCATATGGTGGGTCCTTTAATCTTGAGGGAAGCTTATTCGAAAACATTTAATTAAAATAAGTAGAATTAGATAGCAAGTTTAAGAGCTATGAAGTTGATCAGCTTAGCTTTAACTCCATATAAAAAGAGAGACTAGATAATCTTGAATAAATCCTATCAAATTGTTTCAAAATATTGTTTGAAAGGCAAAATCAGATTGATTCTAAAATCTAAAACATAGAGATGAGACTTTTTAAATCGCTTAAAAGTGAATATAGAGAGTTCCTAAATACTAATCAGCGCGGAACAACTCAACTCCTTCAAGGTGACAATGGCCTAACTTTTCCTAGAGATAGAAGCCTAAGTGAGAATGAAAATTTATTGTAGATATTCAAAAGTGATAAGAAACTCCTCAGCAATATTTAGAGCAATTATATGAGTAAAGTCAACATTAACCTAAACAACTTTAATACTAATAGCTGTACTTAATCTAGTAGAATGTCCGGAGTGCACACTAAAAAGAACACTTAAGTAAGTAACAGAGACAAGCCTTTTTCAGAATATAAAGGTGAGTACTAAGCACCGCCTAAGCTTACTAAAAATCAATCATTTACCGAGAAGAGAGGTATTTTGAGGAAAGATAGATCATAAAATGATGAAAACTTTAACCCTTTGTTAAAGTAGCACAGCGGAGTTCCTTTAGTCTAAGCTCCAATAGATAGTAAAAATCTTACAACCATGATTGAGTCATCAAGAAATTTCAAGCTTACTATGAAGAAAGATTCAAATGCCAATAAATAGACGACGACTAATTCTACATCTAAAAGTATAGTTCCTGAGAAAAAGATAAATCTGACTAGGGAGAACAGGAACTCAAATTCTACTTAGGAATTAAGGATTTTGCAATAGCAGGCTGAAGAAAATATTTTAACCACTAAGGATGAATGCTTTAAGACTATTGAAGGGTCACTAAACAGCACATAATAGGTTTTGAAAAATGGCAAGTAAACTGAAAGGCAGAAGAAAAACAAAAAGCTTATAGATAATTATCAAAAGAATGTGCCTACTAAAGTGAATAATCTCAAGACATTAAACTTGTAAAGACCGTCAACTTCAAATGAAAAAAGAATGAATAACACACACCAAATCCTTAACTTGCCTTAGAACTCTCTCATTGCAAAGACCGTAAATAAGCAGACTATGATTGAAGTATCCAAGGGTAATAATTACTTTTAGAGTAATAACTCTTAATCGAAGCTCTCTTTGAGTTCTTAATCAGGAGAATCTATGAGGAGAAATTCCTTAGATCTATGCAAATCTATGCTTAAACCAGCTGAAGATTCATCTTCGTCTCCTAAATTTATTAATCATATCAATAAGAGTGATAATAAAACAGAACTTAAACTAAGATTATCTGAAAATGGAGAGGAAATGCTGGAACCTAAATAAATGATTGGCAATAAGTTCAGAATTGATAATGAACTTCACCAGCAATAGAATCAAGTAACTTTGGAGTTTTTCTAAGAATAGCCAAGGTTTGAAAGAACGAGAAACGTTGAACATAAATTCTTCGATACGATTATATCTAAGGAGGACTAAAGTGATTTCGATGAAAAGAAAGTGGAATTTGTTAACAAATAAACGGAGGATAAAGATCAAGATGAATTCTAAAGTGAGGTACTTAATAAGCTCTCTGCTAATTCAGTTTATTAATCTAAGAATATGGGCCTATCTAGGTTTATTAGCAATAATAAATCATAAATAGATTTTAAGAATCATTACAATAAGGTAGAATTCAGGAATCTTACTGAATTAATCCTTCTTAAAGGCAATAAATGCTAGTGCATCCAATCATGCAAAGATGAGAATATATATCTAAACTAAGATTAATGCGGAGAGTATTGCAAAAGGCTTGGCCCCTAGTAGGAAAGAGATATAATTAAGTAACTAATCATTAAAGAAAACGAAAGCTTTATAGTTTAGGATTATGGCTAATTAGGGAGTCCATCACTTGGAAATATTAATCATTCAAATCACAAGATCCTCGCACCATCATCTAGATCTAGATCTCCAGCTCAAAACATTGAGGATCTCAATTATAAGACTTAGTAATAAAATAGAAGAGATGAGAAGAAATATCTAATCAATGCTAAATGGTGGAGGTCCTGGTGTGACTATGTCAACTTTGAAGCCACTACTCCTAAAAAGCAGAAAGAAAACCTAGAAATGCTGAATGAGAAATACAAAGAAAATGGGGAAAAGAGGCAAATCATTTTAAATTTGAAAAATGTAAAGAACTAAGTTATTCAGAAAACTAGTTAGTTGCCTGGCAGCAATTACCCTAAGCCTAGTAAAATTATGAATGTGTAAGTATTATCAACTGTGAATAATCTATACATATAGAGAGATTTTAAAGGATGGAAAGTAATGTGAAATTAAAGATGATTTGGTAGAGCATTTTGACTTCATTGCAGTATCTTGTGAAGTCTGGAAACATCTATACAGTTGGTACAGTGCGGATTGGACTATTATGAGATTTATGAAAAGAGATAAAACAAACAAGAGAGCTTACTTTTTGGATTTATACCCTGAGAAGAACGCTATTAGTAAATATATGATAGAACATGAAAGTGAATAGTTTGAATCAGAATCTGAATTCAGCTAATGTAAGTTTTATATTAAAAAGTGTCCGGAGCTTATAATATTTTAGATTTGGCAAATGATGAAAAAGCTTTGTAATTAAGAGATTTAACATGAAACTCAATCACTTTATGACATAGAACCAATAGTCATTCAATTTTTAAGTTGCTTTTGACTGTGATGTATATTAATATTAAAGTTAATTTAAGTTTAATTAATAATAGCATTAATTCAATAATCTCAAAAAGAGCTATCGATATCTAGTAAAATATAGCCCTATATTTAAAAATGTTGTAAGAAGTTTCACTTTCTGACTTTTTTAATTGTTTCTTCAAGCCAAGGATGGTTTAAAGCATCATCTGCTGTCATTCTAGAATTAGGATCCCACTCAAAACATTTTGAAACAAAGTCTATCAAATCATCATCGTCTTAATTCAGCACAGCCTTCAAATCTTTATGTTTAAATGACTTTACTTTACACCCATCAAATTTGAAGTCTGAGTAATCATTCTCGAAAAATACCTTTGATCTCGATGCTGCTTTAAGCAAGTCATAAGGAGGTATACCCAATACTTCGATAAATTATCTCATTTAATCAGACTCGCTTTCTCCTGAAAATATAGGCATCCCTGTAATAAGTTCACATATAATACATCCAAAACTCCAAATATCAATTTAGAAATCATAAGGGAGGCCAAGAATGACTTCAGGAGATCTGTAAAATCTAGACTGTATGTATGTATAAAGCCTTTCATTAAGGTAACAACTACTCCCAAAATCGATAACTTTGATCATTGATTTATTGTAGTATTTAAGTAGAATGTTTTCAGGTTTCAAGTCACAGTGTACAATGTTATGCTTTCTTAGAAACCTAAGAGTTATAAGTAGCTATAGAGCCATATTTTTAACTACCTTAATATCAAACCCCTTAAATCTACACGCTTTAATCATCTGGTAGAGATTGATATTTAGCATCTCAAAAGTAATGCACAAATGATTTCTAAATAGAAAAGCCTCCTTCATTTTAACTACGTGCTTACGATCGTCCTCATCGTATCTTCTTAAATGATCCAATATTTTCAATTCCACTAAAGCTTGCTTATGAAACTTTTATTTATTTCTAATTATCTTGAGAGCTACTTCTTCTTTGAGTTTATGATCATAGCATTTAAAAACTTGTCCAAATGATCCTCTACCAAGTCTCTCCACTATTTCATATCTGTACATTATATGTTCATTCAATCTATATCTATAGTAATTTTGGTCATCATCATATCCATTATTCATATCTGTCTCTAGATTAAAAGCTTCATTCGCTTCAGAACTTGAATTGACATAGAATACCTCACCAAATGACTGTAACTCCTCTTTTTCAAACTTTGTCAAGAACCTTGAGAATCTCTCTATGGCTTTTTCTGCGGTCATCGGCCAAATAGGACTCACATTAGATAAATCATCGCTTTTGCTCATTTCATCAAATTTCATATTCTTTAATTCAAACATTGAATTCTGAATTGGACTTAACTAGTTAGCTAGGGTTGGATTGCTTTCACTCGTAGAGAGTAAATTAATTGGCCTTGGAGGCGATATTGATGCCTCTTGTATTTACTTTTCTTTAATTGAATGTAGTCTGTTATTTAAAGTTTAAAGCGATTCTCATAGAAAGTCTTTCTAATCTGTAAATGAAGCTAAGGAGTCTTACTTAGTAACAGAGGCACTATTATTAAGATTTAATTGGTTAGGTTGATTTAATTTTTACAAGTTTTATGCCATGTCTATTCTTCTCATATTCTACTAACCCTATCCTGATAGATTAATCAAGTTTTTCTTTAATTTGATCTGATTCTTAGGTTTGATGGAACTAAGAGAAAACTGTCCCACTACATGTCCGCCAAGATTATCTGTTTTTATGACATGAGCTTCACCTTTTAAGTTGATAATATCACTAGTGTTCTTGAATTTATCAAATTGCTTTTAGACTTTAAGCTTTCCTGTAGAAGATGATTGGTTTAAGTTTATTTTAAAAGGTTTCAGATTTTGACTATAATTTGATAGATTCTATGCTGGACCTTATCTTTCATTTGAAAGAGATGCAATATGATTACTTACTTCTGCCACTTATTATTTATTCATTGGGGTTATTCGATTCACTAACGGTAAGATTTGCTTCTCTCCTGAATTCAAGAACTGATCCAAAACTTTCTTTTGGGGTGTTCTAGTAATTTCAAAATTGGATGTAGATTAAGTATTTGAATTTAATCTCGGTGGTAATTAGAAATTCTTCTGAAGTAATTGTGTCATATCTTGTTTTCAACTTTAAACCATAGCTTTATGATCCTAGATATAATTTTATTGAGTCATCATCATTTAGGAATGTTGAAGATTTTTATGCTATATTCGTTTTTACTCCTCACTAAGGGTAAGATTTTTAAGTCTTTCATTAAGGTTCTATACAGATCTCTTTTAAAATTCAAAGTTTTGGCTCTTAGCCAGGGAACTTGATAAATTTTATATTTCAGGCATCTCATCTTCCTAGATCTCATTACCAACGTCCTATTTACGGCCGATCATCGTACTCATACTTTTCTGAAGTTAACTAGACTTTTGCTTGACGAACTTTAGCTTTTTGGAAACCACTCCTGAGTTATTATTAAAAGTTGATGGATGCTATGGAGGCAGTTGCTTCGTGCTATTACTCTAAATAAATGTCTATCTTAGACGATCGTTTCTAGTCAAAGGGGATACGAAAGTATGATTGTATTAGCCATTGTTTGGCTGATTGACAAGCTTGTCGCTTAAATTCAACAAATATGATTATTGCGTTCTATTGTCAGTTTGATTTTCTCAAGAAGACTGCTATTGCATTGTAAAGATCCCACTGTTTTATCCGCTATTATTTTGCAATATGTTGTTGTTTGACTTAGAGTGGCCTATGTTTTCTAGTTGACTTTTGTTACTATTATTAGAGATTAAAGGTTTGATGAGTGCTTGGGATTTTTACTTATTTAAAGAATTTTGAAGTAAAAGCTGAATGTTCCTCGAGACTGTTGTATGTTGCATTTGCTAGAATTCTTCTGATGTAATGCTATTTGATTATTTTATACTAGACTGTTTAATCTGTTTTCTCCTCATTATAATAAATCAATTAATTATGATTTCCTGTTTTTATGCTAATCAATTAATGAATTCAAAAGCAACGGGGTTTTGGGGTTTTGGGGAGATCGGAAGAGCACACGTCTGAACT